GCTGCGGAGCTGGGGGGGGCCGTGGGGTGCGGGGGGGCCGCGCTGGGCGGTTCTGTCGTCACCGGACCTGGGGGAGGGGACAAAAAAATTGGGGGGGGGGCTCAGGGTCCGAGGGACCCCCCTGAACCCCCCAAGGGATCCCCTCCAGCCCATGGGGGGGGATGGGGGTGATGGCCCCCCCCAAAGTGAGCCCGGACCCCCCCTCAGGGGGCTGGGGGCACTCCAGGACCCCCCCCCAAAATCCACCTGGACCCCACAGTGTCCCCCCCAAATAAACTGGGGCACCCCCAGAGCGAACTGGGACCCCCAGGCTGGGGATTCCCCCCTCTCCCCTCCCCCCCTCATTTTGGGGATCCCCCAAACCCCAAACCCGCCCTGACTGAGGCCGCACCCCAAAATTCACCCGGACCCCCAGGGCTGCCCCCAGGTGTGTGGGGGTGACACCCCAAAAATAAACTGGGACCCCAAAGCCCCCCAAGAATAAACCAGAGCTCCCCCATAACACCTGGGGGGGGTCCTGCTGGGGTCTGGGGCTGCCCCCCCAAAGTAAACCGGGACCCCCAGGGCTCCCCCCAAAAATCTGGGGCTCCCCCGAGTACCTGGGGCTGCACCCCAAGAGTAAATCGGGACCCCCAGGGTTCCCCCGAGATATTTGGGGCTGCACCCCCAACGCAAAGTGGGACCCCCAGGGCTCCCCACAAAAATCTGGGGCTCCCCCCAGTACCTGGGGCTGCACCCCAAGAGTAAAGCGGGACCCCCAGGACTCCCCTGAGTACCTGGAGCTGAACCCCCAAAATAAATCGAGAGCCCCAGGGCTCCCCCTAAAAATCTGGGGCTCCCATTAAATACCGGAGCCTGCACCCCTAAAATAAACTGGGACCCACGGGCCCTGCCCCCGAGACCCTGGGGCTGCACCCCAAGAGTAAAGCGGGACCCCCAGCGCTCACCCCAGATTTTTGGGGCTGCACCCCCAAAGCAAAGCGGCTCCCCCAGGGCTCCCTCCAAGGACCCTCCCCACACCCCCGGCCCCCCATCCCGGCCCCCCGGCCCCCCCATCCCCGCCCACCGTCGCCGTCCAGGGGCGCGAAGTCGAGGCCGTAGCGCAGCAGGAAATGGTTGTTCCACACGTAGAGCTGATTGTCGCGGGGGTTGTACCCGACCGACGCCACGAACTGGTACGGGTTGGGGAAGGGCAGCGCCAGCGCCGAGCCGCGGCCTCGCCGGGTGTCGAAGGCGTAAACCAGGGCGTTGCCCAGGTGCTCCGTGTCGTCATCCAGGTAAACGCTGCGCACCACGTACAGGACCCCGCACGCCATGAAGGCGTCGGAGGCGGCGCGTTTGGCGTAGCCGGTCTCCCAGGTGCCCTCCAGGCGCAGCGTGTAGGGGTTCAGCTGGCTCACCACCAGCCGCCCGCCGTTGCCCTCGGTGGCGTAAATCACCCAGAGCCCCTCCTCGTCCACGGCCAGGTCGATGTCGGTCTTGCCGCCCCAGCGATAGGGCGACGTGTCGTGATAGTTGGCGGCCCCCACCACGGTCTCGCCGCTTTTGATGCGCGTCCTGAGGTCGTACTTGACGATGCTGCGGGTGCGCTCCTTGTTGTAGAACACGGCGCCGTCGTACACCACGAAGCCGGTGCCGTCGGCGCGGTGCGGGAGCCGGTGCGTGGCCGCGGGGCGCGACGCCACCAGGTCGGCCCAGGACGCGTACTCGGTGAGCGTGTCCGTGCGGTACGGAACCCACGGCAGCACGTACAGCCGGTCCCCCGACTGCAGAGGGTCCCGGCACCAGCCCCCCGCCTGGTGCGGGGATTCGTGCGTGGAAAGGGCGGGACCCACGCGCTGAGGAACGCCCGGACACACGAAAACTGCGGGGGGGGAGAGAGAGAGAGAGAGAGAGAGAGAGAG